ATATATCTCCTCATAGTCAGGACTTTGCTAGGTTACCTCATTTTTACCCACAGAAGCCAAACTGCTAGACTTTTGGAGACTGCTAGCAATAAATTTTTTTCTATGACAATTATTTTCATTACTGATCTTGACCATCTCTCCAATGAACTCATGAAGAACCTTAATATTGAAAAGCACCTCATAAATAATTTACAACAAACTGAAGGAATATTGAACATTTGTAAATATGACCTCCATTTGCAGGCTTTGTGTCTCTTTTAGGTTTTCTTCTTGAACCTTTGCTACAATTACCTTTAAATCTCCATGAAAGAAGCCGAAGAAATGGGAACTCAGGCTTGTAGAAATATTAGTCATCTTACTAATGGATATTCTATAGCTTGTCCTTTTTTCCACTTCCTCTTACCTGATTCATTCATAACTCAGACAGTCAGACAGACTCTTAATTTTGGTTGGAGCCAATGAGTCTTACAAATGTAATTTATACAGTAGTTGATGATTTAAATGGCAAAAACCCCAAATTGTGTGCTTTTTAAAAATGTAAATCTGTCTGGACCTCATTAATGAAGGTTCTTGACTACAGGAGAAACTATTTCCTCTTTTTTTTGGAAAACCATTTATTGGTGAGATTCAGCTCTTCTTTTCAAAAATTACTTTGGAATCATGGTTTTATTTGTTGTTGTTGTTTGTCCAGTGTTCTCAGCCTAAATCTTGCGAGTGGTGACATGTAGGATGCTGTCAGTGGTGAGACATCATGATGACCACACTGTCAAGACAAACAGTGCAACAGGAAGTTTCATAACACAGGAATTTCAGGGAATAATGGATTTAACTGAACCCTGAGAAACTGAGAAACTTCTAAGCATCTTTAAAAAAAAAGTTATAAAGGGCAGCTGCATGTTTGGGCCAAAGCTCTGCCTATTACTAAAAACTTTGCTACTTTTCAGCTACTTTGCTATCCCATTCTGACTGTATGGAAATCAAAACATACCAACTTCGCTTTAGCCATAACATCTAAGAAAACCTATGAGAATGATGGGTGAAACCAGCTTCCCTCTATTTGGGAACAGCTGAGGCTGCCTGATGGTAAACAGCTTGTGTGTTAATTTGTGCATAAAGCTATCCTGATACAGGTTGTCAAGTTGTTTATTAGTGGGGCCATAATGTGAGAAGATACAAGGTTTCAGTGATCTACTTCATGCATAAATTTCAGCAGTTTTTACTCACTGAAGGTCCTAAATAAGAATCCACTCCTATTGGTGGATCAGTCTCATTTTTCCAAAAGAAGGTGACAAAGCCTGGGTGAAAGATTCTATAGGAGGGACAGGCTTATTTTATTTATTATAATTTTGTGAAATCCATGAGTGTCTACTCTTTTTCTTTTGAATTTGGGATGAGTATATCTGAGAAGTCTGGGGTAAAGCAACACTGGTGGTAGTGCTTTTTGCCTCATCCTGCTGTGTTTAGTACAGATTATGCAGGTGTGCTTAAGGAGCTCCTATTGAGATTTCAATTCTTTTAAGACATTGCTGACTACACCAGATATTGTTGACATACCTGGCATCTGTTTTGGGAGGAGACAGATTTTCTTATAATGGGTTTTACTTTTTTTAATGGAGAGAAGTTCTTTAACTTGAAGAGTCTAAAAAGATTTAAGCCAGATTCCGCTTGCTTCCCCTCCTCGTTATGTTCAGTGTATTACAACTGCCTTGGAACTGTTCCAAAAGAAGGCATAGTTCACTATAAGAAATTCAGACTTAGCTCACTGGTTCTGATTCACATACTTGCTAGTCTGGAAATAAAAAATGAGTGAATATCTTATTTTTCAGCTAAATATTAGAATTAGGCATGGTTTTTGCCTTGTTTCTACTTCTAGTCTTCTTGGATGCGTGAGGGAGAGAATGAGGACAAGACAAAGACATCTATAAAAAGGAATATTTCTTTGTGACCAGAACAGAGATTATTTAGTCTTTCTAGGTGTGCCATTTTTGGTGGCTTAGTTGATGCGATCATCCCTTACTTTCCAAAGTTTTTAGCTCTCAAAGAAGAGGGAGATGCTATTAGAGATACTCTCCTCTATTCTCCACTAGTACACAGAAAAGCTTCTACTGTGGAGTTGTAAGGTTTGCACTTACATTTGCCCTTTGTCATCCACCTGTGCCATTTTCTGGTTGCTATGTTTTTGCAAGCAGGCCATGGGGAAGGTGCTGTCCAGGAAAAACAAAATGGTCATTCTGACAGTGACCAGCAGGAGTCCAGGTAAAGGATCTTTTAACAATTTCTGAAAGAACTTTGTTTTGTATAACAGATATAAACCCAAACTTACTTAAATGTTATTGAGTTTTGTATACATGAAGATAAAGGGACATCATCTTGCAAGTGAAGAATAACACTTTTGTATCCAGTTCAGTTACAGAGACTTCAGATTCCTGCTGAAGCAGAAAAAGATACCCTGCAGTACTCTAAGAGTTACCATGCAATTTCCCACCTCCAGGGACTAGCAACAAAGAACCCATTAGACTTGTCGTGGAAGGCTGAATGCCCTGTTAGCTGAATCACCACACCAGAATTACAGTATTTTAAGAGCTATACTATACAGAATTATTTTGAATTTAAACGATAGGCTTAATATCTAGTGTATTGCTTGTTCCCAGTGTGTTATTTGATTAAAAAGAAACCTGTTGAAGTGTGTTCTCTTTTCTGTGGTATTGTGATAGGAAGATTACAGAGACTTGACTTTATGCCATTTCATCATCCTTATCAGCCAAGGCATAGACTTTTTTGGGTGGTTACGGATCTGTACGTGCTGCAGTTGTTGACTGTGATCAGACCTTTTGTGAGTAAAATAGGACTTTACTCCCCCGCCAGGACTCCTTGCCGATATCCCTACTGTGCTCAGCACTTGGCCTTGCAGTATTTTGTTTGCATACTGCTAGTATGAGTCTTCAAGTTTCACTGAGAGATCATGAGATAATGGGATACTTGGGTAAGCCTTGAAATGAAGATGTAGAGTGCTATCTATGCCTGCTTTCTTTTGGTGTTGTGTTTTTTTTTTTTTTTTTTTTTTTTACCTATCACATCACCTTGTGGTTTTAAAATGATGATGTATTTTAGGGCACAATTACAAAATCCTGAGGTAAAATATATTTCTATTAGTACTACATCCAAAGAAAGATACAAAAAACTCTACTGTTGGAAGACTTCCTCTATTTCCATCTCTTATTTGCTTTTATTTTCATCTTCAGCACCTGCATTATTAGAGGACAATACATTAACCAGACATCTCACAAGCCAGAATCCTACGTCGCTTGATCACTTTTGGGGTAAAATTTAGCTAGACTGCCTAAAAATGCTTATTGGTCTCTATGGATTTGTTCTGAATTTATTTAATACAAAGTGTAATATAAAAAGCCCTCTCTGCAGTTAATTAGCCCCCAGGTTATTGCAGGCCCCAAAGCATTGTATTTGAGTTGTCATTGCTACTTGCAAAGATCAGCAGGATTTAATTCTTGTGTTACACAAAGTAGATTGCATGTGCTTATCTGGCTAGTGTTAATTCATTGTTTCTAGGCTCTAATTTCATTTTTAATTTTCTTGGATATTAAAGATGGTGCTAAACATGAGGAACTTTGCTGAAATAAGATGTGTTACACTGAGATAGTACCAGTTTAAATTACAGCAGAACTGAGCATGAAGGCTTATCCAGAATCATGCTATCGTAGCTGGGGGCAAGATTTGTTTCTGTTACATGATAAACCTAAAACAAATAGGGCTCATTCAGACTCCTTTGGGATAGGGTAGACCTAAGCTTATTAATTATTCCTGTTTTCTAAGGAGAAAACGTCAGGTTTCCTTCATTTGATAATCCTGTTTTTTCAGAAAACATTTACACATGTTCCAGTACCCAGTTGGCAGCGTCAGGAACTCTTCAGTGGTTAGAGAAGTGGCAGAAGGTTAAATCATCTGACTTTGATGTGATGTTGATTGTTTACCCTTAGTGTACAATAATATCTTAAAAAAATGAAGCAAAGTGGGTGTATTCATTACTGGACAAACACAACTGACAAGTTAAAGAACATGTGACTCTCTTCAGCTGAGACCAAAGTGCTTCATTTATAATGGAGATTACGGTAAGAACCAAATGAAGTTGTCTAAGGGAAAATGATGTCTCCTGAGCCTTTATTCTGGTTTGGCCACCAGTTAATAACACGACCAGCACTTAACAACAAGATGCAGGACTGTATTATCTTTTAGCAAATGCCAGTCATGTGCAATCCAAACAGGTCAATTACTAGCAAATCTCTGAAGATCTCCTGAAACCTCAGAAGAGTTAGAGATGCCAAGAAAATGTCTAGATGCACAGAGACACAGGAACAGAAATAGGGCACAAACCAATTTGCAGAAATGGAACTTAACCCTTAGAGGGAAGAACCCAGCCTGCTACATATTCATTTCCATTTCATTAAATATTTATGGAGAGACATGCATGTAATGTGATTCTAAATTATGGAAAAAGCACAAACGGAATCTGCACTGTTTCAGTCACATTTAATCTATTTTCTTCAACCTTTCTGTATCTTGTAAGCATAATGGACAAACGTGATTTTTTCTGCTATTAACATGCTAGACATTTGAAAATTAACATGTTGTCTTGAATAATTCTAAATCAGCACACACATAAAATAGAGCATAGAAGCCAGTGATAGCCTGCTCTTCAGCTCAATACGCATGTCTATGACCTATTAATATTAATGAAACCTGCACACAAGCATGTGGGGATAATTGACCCCATTAAATTCCATTTACTCATGAGCTACTTTGTAAGGTTTGCCCCTTAGTTACTGTAGTTTTTACCAAGGATGAAAGTTGGAACAACATGTATACCAACCAAAGACAATTTCAAAAATAGCTTTTGTGGGAAAAAAAAAAAAGAAAAAGAAAAAAAGAAAGGAAAATAGTTAAAAAAAAAAAGGAAAAAGAAAAAGGAAAAAAAAAAGGAAATACTGCTAAGAAACATATTTTCATCCAAACTTTCAACAGCTAATGAAAATAACTTTACCTTATTTTAAACTTTTATTCAGACAGGACATCAGAATCCTTGAGGAGATGAAGAACTTCAGCCTGGGTATATTTTTACTGGGGTCTCTAGTGAATGGTGTTTTCATTTGCAGGACTGTGCTGAGCTGGGCAGACACGGGAAGGGTGAGCAATATTTCACACACATACCTGGAGATCTGGATCCATTCAAGGCCGTGCTGGACAAGGCTCTGAGCAACCTGATCGAGCTGCAGGGAGGCTGGACTTTAATGGTCCCTTCCAACACAAACCATTCTGTGATTTGAATTTTTTTTTCTTAAATTCTGGGAATCTTGTCTTCACTGAGATTTCTTTCATGCTTTTTCTGTTGTCTGTCTGAGAAAGGCAGTAAACCAAGAGAGTCAACCTGTTGTGTTTTTAATGGCCCATCTCTAAACACGTGAAGATTACTGATTTAGTTCACTGGAGAGGATGCACCTAATATCTCTCCTGATTAGTGCTAAGTGGCATTCAAAGTTGTAGACAACAATGCATGAATCATTTTTGTAGCTTTTGTCAAACAAGTGATATATTCTCCTTGGCCAGGAATGGCTGATCTCTTTCAGCTGATCTCTTCTTTAAAAGAATGAGCCTGTGATATACAATTGGTTTTGCAAAATTACGTGCAACTGTAATCTAACCCCCCCCAGACATACAGAAAAAGGAAGAATACTAGCAATATAACTAGCATTAGTATTGCTGTAGCTAGTGCTTTGTAATAGATATTACTCAAAATCATTTTCCTGACAGTAATTTTACTTATTTTCTTGTAACATTCTTATTTTATAACGATCTCAAACAAGTATCTTGGAACAAATCTCACAAACAGTGAGATCAAATCTTTCCCAAAAGGAGCCCTCAGATTGCAAGAGCTGTTGTACTCCTTATTCTTTGTACATAATACAGAAATTAGTATTTTTACAGCCTTAGCACACCTTCAGAACCCCCTTGTTCGGGCTGCAAGGCACCTGAAGAAGGGTCCAGAATCACGCTCACTGTCCCCAGACCTGGACTGGGTCTACACAAGACGCGATGTCTCTGGCAGCTTCAGACTGACACAGTGCTAGTTGCACCAGACCAGAATGAATAATCTCCAGACATGAGTTACTGGCACAATTAAAGCAAGAGCACAGCTGACTGACATACTGAACAAAAGAGCTTTGGCAGAGCTTACAGTGGAAAAGCATATAGAGGAAATTCACTCTTGGCGTTGAACGCACCCGAGTAAAAGGAGGACAAACTGCTGATTAACAAGCTCAGACTCTGCAGACCAAATACCAAAGGATGAACAATGGCAATAACACTCTGTTATGTCTCTCTACAGCATGCATGCAATTTATCATTAAGTTATATTCCATAGGCAGCTCCAGCAGTACATTTTCACAGTCTAATTGATGCTTATGAGATTTGGCTTGCAGCTTTCAAAAAAAGTCAAAAGTACAGAGAATTCTGGTCCATCCAACAAGAAAATCAAAGCCCTGCAATGTTAGTTATAGCTGCAATAGATTTTTATGACTCCAACACAGCTAGGTCACTGGGTAACACGGACAGAATGCAGTCGTGCCTCAGAGGGTGCACGTTTACCTGGGCTGCAGGGGCTTCCTCATAAAGCACAACACGCTGATCGCTCCACAGAGCTCTGGTAGGTTTGGGAGGCATGTCTGCCTTCTGCAAAAGTCAGCTCGGCCCCTCTCGGAGGGACATATGTATCCTCACATTGACTAATTTGATTCTTTCGGCAACTTGTACCAGTTGGTTTGCTGCAGCAGTCAGGTTTACTAGTTCCTCATTCTCAGGGTCACCTCCAGAGCCTCTCACAGATTTTCATCTGCCTTTTCCCTGCCTGTGCTATTGAGATCAGTGCAAATAATTGATTACACAGAGCCATTACTGGCAATTTCATATCTGAGTTCGGTTGGAAATTTTGAGTGAATACCCTCTACTCCAAGTGTACTTGTTTGACACTTTAATCTGATGCAGACCTGGAGACACTTTTGGTCTTATATGGGAACCTCCCCGTCTTCCTCTACTGATAACTGATGCAAATAATACATAGATGTTTCCCGTAATGGCCTTCTGTTCCAGAACTGCTCCTTTTGCATCTCTGTCATGTGTTGGCACCACCAATTCACCACTAACCTTCTAGAGCCTGAGTTAAATGAACATAGCTTTATTAGGTTTGTATGTTTAGCAAATCACTCTCCAAAATGTTTGTCTGTTTATTGCGGTTTTAGTTAACTTCAGTCTATTCTATTATCTATTTTTCTCTACTGACCATGGCTTACTTTCTGAAGGATGGCTTTTTACTCCTGATAACCATGTTCTCTGCCCTTCTGACATGATAACTACTTTTGTTACTCAAAGAGGCTATTTAATGATATGCACTTACACTGAACCTTCATTGTGCCTTTAAGCAGACTCCACGAGGACTGTGCTAGCTGCTCCTTTATTTACTTAGCCTTGCCATTTTAAGATAAATTGCTCCACAGCTTGATATTTTTGACTACGTCCTTCTGTGAGGAGTTGAATTTGAGAATGGCAATGTCAGTACGTAATTCTTTTCCTTATACTTAGAGAGCTGTCAGCTTCGCTCTGCTGAATGTGTCTGACCAGTATGTGGTACTGGTGTCCGGGTGTCTCAGCCAATGCCTTACCTCAGCTCTCACTCCTCAGGTAAAGCCGTTAGAGCATCGCTCCAGAGAGAAACGGTACAGCAGTGAATGCACTGCTGTGGCACACGACACTGTCTCCTGTGGCAGCTGTGAAAGGACCTTCTCAGGGCTCGACCATCGCCGGGAGAGGTGCTGCGCACGTGTGCCAGGGGAGGCACAGCCCCCAGCTGAAGAACCTGCAGACAAAAATATGAGCTTGAGTTTCCAACTTTTCAAGTCCTGTGAGAAAGAGAGTGGTCCGCTGGTGAAACGCAGCGTGCTAGGAGAGGTCTTCTGCACGCAGTGCTTTCACATTACACTTGGCCTGCTAGTTGAGTAACACAATATGGCATTACCTGATTTCTCCAGTGCTTATAGCAAAATGACTTCATGATAAAAGCATTCACGTTCACCTATACAACTTCAGATTTTGCAAGACTGTTAGGTTTCTAATAATGAAAAACATGGTTTTATTCAGATGATCAAGTAGCCATAAATAAAGAGCTCACAGGAGCCAGCTGACAAATAAACTTTTCATATGTTAGGTATGTATGGTGATGTAGTTTGTGGTGACAGCACATTGTTCAGAAGAGCAGGTCATGTGCTGCTTCCTATTATACCAGTGTCGACCCAGAGAATTTCCACTGTCTATATTTCAACCAGTTCACCTAAGATAAAGATCTCTACACAGGATTTCACAGCCTTTTTTGCCACTGTATAGTATTATTAAAAAAAGAAAGTACTGTAGGGGTCAAATAACTTTCAATATTGTTTCTGATAATAAATGCACTACAAATGGTTTAGTCTCATCCATTAATCATAATAAAATCATAAACCAAAAGAGGCTGAAACAGATTTCAGTAAGGCATCAAGCCCTTCTCCTGCACTGTTATGAAATTTAGGCCTGTGACACGAGGCAATGCCTATCACAGTGACTGTCATGGGAAACCGGACACCTCAGGGTAGACATTGCTGCTTTAGGTCTCACAATGACAGGACTTTGTGAGGACCAAGTCCCCAGCGCTTTAATTATTTGTAGCAAAAATAAATAAAGATGAAATTATAAAAGGAAGATAGAGGGGACAGTTCTGAGGGACAAGTTAAGAGGAGTCCGAAATGCATCGTGCCACGTGCGTGTATACAAGAACCACAAGAAGGAAAACGGGAAGCTGTAAGCAGAGGTGGGCTGGCAGAACAGAGTCTGGGAAGACGCACAGGCAGGGCTAAGCCCAGACTGACTCTCAGCCCCTTCCCCTGCCAGCCTCTGGAGCTGGCCGGCTGGGGCAGATGTGCTGGGAGCCCCCGGCCCCGGGCCCGGGGCGCTGCCTGCCTGGGCTGGCTGGGCGCAGCAGCCCTCGCCCCGGCCGTGCTCCCGCGGGCGCCGGCGGCCCCGGCTGAGGGGGAAGAGGAAGCACTGGACGTGTCACAGGCCAGAGAGGTGCGGGAGGTGATGCTCCCGCCAGCCAGAGCCCTGCCGGGGCTCGCTGACCGGGCAGACCGGAGCGGGTAAACCGGACCGAAGGCACACGGAGACAGCGCGCCGAAAGTAGGGCAACAGCCACGCACAGAGCCTGAGCGGCCTACCTGACACTAATGGAAAAAGGGATTTCAATAGCTAAAACCTGGTATGTCGAACCGAGCTGAAGATATAACTCTAAGTATGTATTTCTGGGCCGTAAGAGGACTGGTAGAGAGTAAAAATGATATCCATCTTACTCCTCTCCTGGAGGATTTGTTTCCCCCCCCCCATATTTTAATATCACAAAGAGATGTTATTTTCAGTCTAAATAATTCATTTTTTATATGTAAACTCAAGAACAACTGGAAATCTGGTTCCAGGTTCAGAAGTGAGATGTATGGATGTACATTCATGTACAAACACCTTTTACAGAAGCATAAACATACTTAACCCCTGCCCCCCATATTTCTCTGTCTCCAAATATCTGCGTTTCATTATGCACCCTCACAGACGATTTTTTTCCTTTCAAATATAAGATCTAGGATAGGTTGTTTCTGAGAGATAAATATAAACCAGATATTACATTTCTAATTCTCAATTAATCAAATGCTGTACATGAAAAGGCAAAGGTCAGATTCTATTCAGATTTGTAACAATGTAAAAAAAAATCAGAAAAATTTGCTGTTACTCTTTTCCTAAGTACCACAGAAGAATCTGCCATTTTTCTGTAACGGAACAGCATGGAATAATAAAACTCTGTATTTCAGGAGCCCGTTTCTATGTGAACACTCTCATTTCACAGCCAATTCAGATTAGCTCTACCATCCTTGCTGGAGTGGGAGTCATGTAGGTTCATTGTCATTTTATGGATGAAATTATTTAAGAAGAAACATTGTGACTTGCCTGATGCAATGTAAAAGAATATTGTCTGAAGAAGAAATGGGACCCATGTCTGTGGCTACCTAGTTGCGTGCATTAACCTCTAAGCTTTCCAGCAGTGTGATGCATACCAGAAGATGAATTTCCCACCTATTCTATTTTTTTTTTTGGTGGTGGTCCCAGGATAACATTAATACCTCAAAAGAAATTAGTGTTATTTATATGAGATGGGAGGAGGTATTTTAAGGAGATGTTAATATTTAGGTGGTTAATTTATTTTCCCTAGGGCAAATTCTGCTTGTGCTTTCCAATGTGCAGTTTACACTGCCATCAGTAGCACTTCTCTGGGTACAGCTGTCTGGACTGGCAGAGCGATGAGGGGCAGGGAAAGAGAAAACCCACAGGTTTACCTGCTCACTTCATGAAACAAAGGTATACCCGGCACCTTGCACCTACTTCTGGCCTCCCTTGAGGGCCCTTCTGAGTATCAGCACTATAGCTAAAAGACATTTATTCCTTCTCCTTCATTTGAGCAGTAGCAAAGCTGGTGGAAACTGTCATATTATCCTTGGAGAGATTTACTATTAGAATATTAGAACTAATATTCGAATATTACTATTAGAATATTCTAATAGTAATTAATTCTGATATTACTATTAGAATATTTACTATTCTAATCTACATTTCTCATCTCTTCTTTAAAAAATAGGTTTGCTTTTTTTCACGCGTTGACTAAATAGTTGTGCTAAAATGCAGGTAAAACTTCTCTCTCAGCAGTCAGTGACACTGAGCTACATGTAGTCCATGGCAAAAACACATCCAAGAACACGTTTCATACTATTTCCCTTCTCTTTTTGGCACAGCATGGAATTTAATGATACATATGCTAGACTCACATGACAATAGTTTTGACAGCTGTGGGGGAAGGGTGGTCGGTGTTGTGGCTGAACTCCTCACCCGTTCCCATGGGGGAGAGGGTGCCTTGCAACTAGACAGATGGCTCCTACAGAAGGTCAGCAGAAATGGTCATGCATACCCTACTTATTTTTGCATGGTATTCATTGATTCAAACTGCTTCTGAGTGTCTCTCCCCCCTTTTTAATAAGAGTTTTATCATGTTTTTAAATCTTTGCCTATTTCAATGTGGCTGATTTAATTTCACACAAAAAAGTGTGGGAGCAGCAGTCTCAGTTCCCCTGGATAAACACTGGACTACGTGCTACTTGTGTTTGACTATGTCAGCTGTGAGCTCTGTAAGTATGAAGTTCTGCCAGGTCAGACATAAATCTTTTGTCAATGAAAGGGGTACATTATCTGCTTCTCAGCTGTTTTTTTTTTTTTTTTCTCTAAACAGCTACCTGAGGTTTAAGATAAATATTCAACGTGGTTATTTAAAAGAAAAAAAGAAAAAAAAAAAAGAACGCTTTCTCTCATGCACTGTACATTAATGGCAAATCATAGAAAGCAGGGATCAGTGCTCATGGCATGTCCCAGGTCAGTCTAAAAATGTAGTGGTGCAGTGAAAGGATTTCTAAAGAGGCCAAGAATGTAACAATACTTTGACTGTAATATACTTTGTACCTTCTGAGTCGGTCCCTTGCAGTGAAGCTCCCAGATGCAGAACTCTTGAGGCAACTGGGTGCAACTTTTCTGGGTTAACAAAGCTGTGCCCTGCTTCCTCAGGAACAGTCAGTCCCAGCATGGGGTTGTGAAGAGGGTTACGTTGAATTGGGATCCTTATTCTCAGCCAACGTCTTGTTGTTCCCAGGTATCTGCATATTGAAAAGCATGAAGAAATTAAACTGATGACTAGCCAAATGCCAACAGCTTAAAGGTTCATGGATTTAGTAGCTCTCCATGAATCCAGTCAATCTCTGCTCTGTTTTCAAGTCCTGTAGATGTTGAATTTGAGTTTTGGTATTTCTGATACCATTTCAAGGTGATCTCAGCCTTGTGTGGGTAAGAGGATATGGTTAGGCAGTGCTGTTGGCCTTGCACTATCCCACACCCCCAAACATCCCCAACACTCACCCCCAGCTCTCTGTGAAATTTGGCTGTTTCTCACATAACTCCTCCTTAACCACCCGTGAATTCCTCACAGCACTATCTGTAAATTTGTCAGCTTCTCACCCTGTGATCTGTCACATCCAGAAATTTCTTGTGCCACGTCCAGTAGTTTCTCACGTCTTGTTCTGCTCGGTGCGCCCCAGGCCAGGGCACAGGCAGCGGTCCCATCGCCTGCAGCCCTGGCAGCCAGCGTCACAGCCTCGGCCTGCTGCTGCGGGACAGAAACGGCTATTCTGCTAGGGTTCATCCATATGTATGGTACATAAAAAGTAAAAATAAAAGTTAATGGTTTGAACCTGATACCCTTTTCTCATGCTGCTTAGTTCCTGATCACTTATGGAAGGAGTTATTTGGGAGAAGAGGATGTACCATCTGGTCCCATACAAGGGTAAAGCCTTCAGTTAAATAGGAGCTTGAAAGGAACATAAAGATGTTTGTGACCAGACTAAGGAACTGGAGGCCATTGTGGGAAGCTACTCGAGTGGATGATGGGTTCAGATCTGACAAAACAGAACTTGGAGTCGAGAAAATTCTAGTTTAGGAGAAACGTCTTTGAGGAGGAATGGAAAACTAAATAAACCCACAGTAATTGTAGGAGCTGTAGATAAGATTATACATATTAGATTTAGATAGATCCTCCGAGGAAAATAAAAACGTCTCAGTGTAAAAAATTCAGCTACAATAGCAAAGTAGACAGGCTTGCAAGTGCATAGGTCTTGCAATTTTGGAAAACCAAGCTATGCATATATGATTTGTTGCATTTTTGTTGTAGAAGGCTTTATCCCACTTTTATGATTTTAGGATTAATAAACATTATCCAAGTCAAGCATAAAATGGGCAGCACCTCATTCAGCACATTCACTGGAATTTCCAGTGTATTTATCATTTTCTGCTGGGAGCATGGTTATAGCAATGATTAGAAAACAATATGGCAGGAAACTCTTGATGTTAAACATTTGAGTTATGCATCACAGATTGTCTCAAATTCTCTGACTTTTTAGATTTAAATCTTTTCAAAGTTTTCCTGAAGCTTTTGGCACATTTTCTGCAAAATGTGTACAAAAAAGACAGAAGATTCATGGAGGACTCTAGCCTTCTGTTATTGTTTAAACACTGATGCTTAAGGTTTAAATTTACAGGGAACAAATCGCTCTACATCAAAATTAAGGTGTTGCATGTTTATTTACAGACCAAGCTCCAGTAGTAATGTGTATTTGTCATGGAAACTGATTTGAATTTAATTCTAAACCCTGTTTTGCGCGAGGAAAATGTGAGTTTCATTTTACTTGTCTCTGTTTTCAATTATAATTTGACAAAAGAAATAACTGCATTACCTATTTGATTTGCCAGAACTTTATCCCAGCACCACCTGTTGAGCCCTCGGCACTTGAATCCTGACATGTAGCAGAGAACAAAATTATGCAGTTGGCATACTAACCAGTAAGGATGCCAACAAAAGCATAATATAGCCTTTGTACTCAAAGTACAACAAAATATATATTAAGCTACCAACTGCAAAGGTTTAAGCAAGCCACATTTAATTATACATGAACATATCTTTCCAACAAATAACTCCGTAGAAAAATGGTGTGGAAGTCAGAAAGGACCCTTTTTGTATGGTTTGCTTTGGTAAATATCACAAGCTTAAAATAAACAAAGTTTCACAAAACCACAGTAGATTTACATTAGAGATGGCAAGAAGATAGCCAGCTAGTTTATACAAATAAATGAGTTCAACACTATCAGCTTCCCAGTTTAAGAGAAATGCCCCACGCTCATGTCAGGCGGGGGAACCGACCTAGAGCAGCACTGCTCTCCCAGGAAGGTGGAAGAAGAGGCTCCCAGTACCAGTCTGGATCAAAACCTCTCTTCTGCAGGCAACTGGGACCAAAGCGGTGGGGATCAACTGCGTCTCTGAAACGTGTTTCTTGAAGCAGCGCTTTGCCACCAACGTAATCACAACTGCTTTCCTGGCCCTCCCGACCTGAGATCTGCACAGAAATGGGGCAGAAGTTGAAGGGAGATAGGGCTGGTCAGGAGGGATGAGGCAAAACCTCTGCCCCGCGGTTCTGCAGAGGTCAGGTGAGGTCAGCACAAGGTCTGTGAACTCACGGGGGATTTGCACACTGGGAAGGGATACCAGTGGCTCTAGCTGTGATTCCTGAGTTTCCAGAGTTTCTTCAAAAAGATGAGTTAAAACACTGCATGCTTTTTAAGGGACCCTTTAAATACTGGTGAAAATGACAATTTACAGACTTTTATCACCTCCCCAATAAGCCTAAAGGAGAATTAAGTCTGGAAACTTGATTATGGTGTTTCTATTTCAAAGAGACTGTTGATCAGAAAAATGATATTAGATATAAAAAGAGGATTGTGTTCAAAGGTAAGGAGAAAACAAGGAGTGAGATCTTACTCCTGCTCACACAGAAATTGTCACAACTGCCCTCAGACAGATCCAAGGATGACGACAGGGTAGGGCAGAAAGAGCTAACTGACCCACAAGGAAGGGAAAAGCAGTTTGGGAAGTATAAGGAGAGGTTAATGGCCAGAGTTGCAAAAATTCTCCTGATGCATTTGTACAGGGCTGAGCACAAAGGTTCTGATGCTGGCTAAGGCTTTTGTCAATATTTTCATATGAAGCATAAATGAAAGACAGTTAAAACTTTGGATAAGGAACCAAAATGCTGTACGTTAAATGAAGCACCTAGAAAACCTTTTAGAGGCAATGAAGTACAGCTTTAAAATAGCTTGGGAAAAAACCCAACTAGTTTTGTAAACAAGGAAACAAACCAGCTGTAAATCACAGAGTAACTAAAAGATTTTGCTTACTGTGCTACCTTTTGCCCTCTGAGCTACTTAACTATTACCACTGTAGGCTCATAGAAGCCTGAAGGGAGGAAGTACCTCTTGGAACCTGTTAGCTACCACCAGGTACAAAGTTCTGATATATGATTCCAGAACAGTACAGATGCAATCCAGAAAGTTTAGTGAGGAAGAAAGTCCGCTGATAGAAAGTGGGACATTTCAAACTGTATCCAGAAAAATGGAATATAATTCTGCATGTGGACTTTTTTCTTACCAATGCACTGCAGAACTCAGCAGAGATTGGGGAATCTCCATCTTTGGAGGGTTCAACTTGACTGGGCACAGCCACGAGCAACCTGATGTAATGAGACCTGCTTTAAGAAGGGGACAAAATGACCTGCAGAGGTTCCTTCTTGCCTAAATTATCTATGATTTTAAAACTGACCTAAAGAAATCAGAAATCTTTTCCTTACAGTGTTATTAAATTTTACTGAGGTGCAATTTTTTGTCTTATTTGTTTAAAGGTTGGAATTATGTATTTACTATTTATAATTATATTATAAAGTTATATATGTGTATATAAATATACATATAAATATACATACTTACAATAAATATACACTATATAATTATAAATATACATTATATAATTATGTATGTACTATATATATTTTTTGGGGTAACTATTTATGTAAATGTATTTTCATTATTTATTTACTTTTTGTTTAAGGAATTGATTAAATAGAAGTAAAATCCGTAAATGGTCCAGTAAGTATACTGGGTGCGTGTGGTATAAACCCAACGAGCCAGTGAGAGTGCTTGCCTAAAACTCTAAAATGGTGGCTTGAAACTTACCCAACGTCCTTAGTTTTTCTGTGCTGAAAATGTAAAGTGACAATTGTTAATGAGAAAAACTTTCCTTCAAATTTGCAATATAAACTGTAAAACACGTGCTAAGAGATAAACCACATCTAGGAAAGCCAAATCTAGTTGATCTCTCCTTCTCAATTGCAAATATCCTTTGTGGTAGCCACATTTCATTCAGGAAAATAAGACGAGAGGAAGTGCACATACGGCAGATAGTTTGGCATCGTCCACTCCTAGATTTCTCAGATGTCTAACAGCCAAGAAAATGTTCCATCATTTTAACTTCTTTCAGATAGCTGATACCATGTAATTTTTACTCTAGATGAAGACTTCAGATGAAATATCTCACTAGTGTTTGAATATGGCATTAAATAAGTCTCCTATAATAGAATTCATCATCTTCTCCTAATTTCTCCCTCGTTCAAAATAACTACAAATTCTTAAATTGCAATGCGGGCCTTTGAGATTTAAAATCATAAACTAGTAAGAAAACTCAGTCCAGAAACAGACTGCATTGTTTGCTGCCTTTCACAGCATCTCCAGACTATTTTTGCTGCCTTTCAAATAGCCTTGCAAAGACACTGAGAACACTGGAACACTTCTGCCCATCAGGCATGCAAGGAAGCTGCAGGTGAATTGGTGAGCTGTGGGAGGGCTCTACAAGTAGCTTTTTCACCCTTGACTGCTTTAGGGAATTTAATGAGCCCACCCTGAGGCTAGCATTTCAGCTTAAAATTGAACTTTTTGCATGTAAAAGAGCCATGAAAATTGTGAAGATTTACAGGTAGATTATAGTAAACTGTACAACAGGCTGCATCTTTTCAGGCAATCTTTGAAGTCTGCTCTGAGTAACGTAAATGCCTCAGTTACTGCTCAGCTCCACTGTCATTCAACAGGTAATTGCTATTAGTCCCTTGTATCATCATATAAAGTGGGATTCACTACTGAATTTAATTCCATTTATATCTGGATCATTTTGGAAGAATTAATAATTCTTAAATTAAATGTCAATAGTTCTTACATTAGTTTAGTGTTTTGTGTCTGCAGCACTGCTCCAAGCAAGTGCCCCCACTTTGCATCACATTTCTCTTATTATTTGAGTATCCTGATAGCACACACTTATCCTTTAGCAGAAACCAGTGACCCTGGGGATCCTTTCACTTTGAGTTTACCTGTCACTGAAGGTGACTGAGGTCAGCTGGCTTAAAATGACTGATCTATAACCCACACCTCCTGAAAGGAGAAATTAAATCCAAAGAGAGAGTCTCATAAATTCCCAGGGAGATCTTAGTATCATAAAAATAGACTTGACACCATTCCAAAGTTTAGCCTCTGCCTTGATAAAGAGGAATCAAAACCAGCTTTGGTGCAGATCCTCCACAGGAGATACTTCTCAAAGCACTACTGAGCAGTCAGTGCCTTCCTTATCTTGTGGCAACTTGTCACTGATCCCTCTGCCAGCTTTCAGTGATAGTGAGATACCGCAGCTGACTAGAAGTGGGAGAGAAAAAGAACAATGTCTTTTCATACTTCCCCAT